CTGATTCATGTCCTCAAGTTCAGGAGTTCAGAATTGGCGAGGCACTGAATTTGAAGCTCAGAGACACACGATAAATGTCTTTTGTACGTATTTATATATAGAGATTAAAATATAGCATCTAGATTGTTTTGAATATATTAAACCACCTTTATATCCCCCTTAAACCACCTTTATGTCCCCCTTAAACCCCCGATGTCCCTTTAAACCTATTCTATGATCCCTTTAAAGACTTAATGAAGCCTCTTAAAGCCCCGGTACAACCTTTGAACAGATATTTGGACCATTCACTCCAACGACTGGACCGTGCACGACAACAACTGAATCGTGCACGACAACAACTGGATCGTGCACGACAACAACTGGATCGTGCACGACAACAACTGGACCGTGCACTACAACAATGGACCGTGCACTACAACAATGGACCGTGCACTACAACAATGGACCGTGCACTACAACAATGGACCGTGCACTACAACAACTGGACCGTGCACGACAACAACAGGACCGTGCACTACAACAACAGGACCGTGCACTACAACAACAGGACCGTACACTCTAAAATCTGAACTAGGCACTACAACCTATGGACCTTGCACTGCAGTAGGCGGACCGTGCACTACAACCTATGGACCTTGCACTGCAGTAGGTGGACCGTGCACTACATTTATTATCATTCATTCCTTCACACCTTTTACATCTTTCTTCCGTTTGTTTACACCTAATCATTTATTCTCTTTCCTTACGCTATTTTGCATATATATCATGTTTACTCTAGTTTTCCAATTCTCTTTTGTTTCATTACAACAAATCTTCACCAAAAAAAAAAAATAAAAAAATCACACGTTGTAAATTATTAGTTTCTCATGTATTTATAATGAGTCAAAAATGGCAACTTTTACAACTGAACCTTTATTAATATTCCGACCGGCTTGAAATGGTCTTTGTTTCATGCGCCAATTTTTATTTTTATTTTTGTATTTTGCTATTTTTTGATGTTGTGGTGAGTGGCCGGTAACTTTGACCATGATTCAGTTTTATTTTCTATTTATTTAGTATATCTAGTCTTTATTTGACTGTATTTTTTGATGTTGTGGTGAGTGGCCGGTAACTTTGACCATGATTCAGTTTTATTTTCTATTTATTTAGTATATCTAGTCTTTATGGTACGACTGTTGGTATTATTGTTGTTGTTTGTCAGTGATGGTGTAATGACTCAGTGACGTGTAGTGACGGATTACCAGTGTAATAGAGTCAGGTGTTCCCTAGGTTGGTAATTAGCTGTATTTTTTACCAACACAGGTGAGGTGCTAATAACTGTCCTTATGCACACACACACACACACACACACACACACACACACACACACACACGGCAATATAACATACATATACTTTAAGAATAAAATCATGTTAAATTAATTATAGACAAATTCCTGTGACTTAATGTTTACCTGAGCAACTGAGGCCAGCGTCTTGTGCCACCTGAGGCCAAGAACAATGTAATTAATTCATATCACCACCACCACCGTCACCACCGTCCCCACCACACCACCGAAACGTTAAGCCCCGCCTGAATATATAATGCCTGGCCCTTGATACTAACTATAAGACACATCTTCTCAATACACACTAAGAAATGTATAAACGTGTAATACTAATGCAGGTATCACAAATGGGTCTGTCACTTATTCAATAAACTTAAATTACTATCGTCAGAAGAGTTTGGAAATGGTTACCCGATTAAGTCATAAAATCCAATGGCTTCTCTTGCCAACTACTCATAAGTTTTGGGTTATCGTTATCATTAATCCAGGGAGTAAGACTGAGATTTATTTTTTTTAATTTAAGACGTTCATTGCTGTTCTAACGATACATTATTTAAAGTAAAGCTAAGTAAGGATAGGTTAGGTTAGCTTTGGTTAGGGTAAGTTAGGTTGTTAGGTTAAGTTAGGGTAGGTTTAGTTAAGGCAGGTTAGTTTAGGTTAGGGTAGATTAGGGCAGGTTTAGTTAGGGTATGTTAGTTTAGGTTAAGGCAGGTTTAGTTAGGTTAGGTTAGCTTAGGTAAGGGTAAGTTAGCTTATGTTAGGGCAGGTTTAATTAGGCTAGGTTATCATAGGCTAAGGCAGGTTTAATTAAGGTAAGTTAGCTTAAGTTAGGCCAGGTTTAATTAGGGTAGGTTAGCTTAGGCTAGGGCAGGTTTAATTAGGGTGGGTTAGCTTAGGTAATGGTACGTATAATTAGCTTAGTTTAGCTTAGGTTTGATACAAATACTAATCAATTATAGTCTTAATTATACTATCCATAAGAGAATATACATTTATAGCCAAATTAAAATTTTCGAAAACAAAAAAATCCGATACAAGTATATATCAACATCATCATTACGTCACCATTATCAACCACTATCCAGAACACTCATAACACACCACCATCAACACACTCACAGTATCATTAAAGTTCGTGGACTCATATCGACGTCAATGTTGTGAACGAATTATCACAGAGATGAGAGAATGTGTTGTTTAAACCATCACATGACAAAAAATCTCCATAGGGTGTACAATAATCAACAATTAGTCTCTGCTGGAGTGTTTTCTTAAGTATAATAACCCCTATAAGCCCTTCAGTACGATGACTTAGTCCTTGTGAGTACATTTACTTATTCCCTTGAGTACGATTCCGAATTCCTTGACAGTAGTTAATTTGTTCCGTGTTGACGATATCTTAACTTACTAGAGTACGATGAGTTTATCTCTTGAGTACAGTGACTTTACTATTTGAGTACGATGATTTCCCCTGAAGTATAATGACTTAATCCCCTGAGTACGATTTCTTAATTCCCTAAATACGATGACTTATAATCCCTGAGCAGATAATCTTCATAATCAAGGGAATAAGTCGTCGTACTCAAGGGGTTAAGACGTCATACTCAAAAAGTTGTCATCGTACTTAAAAGGTAAAGTTATCACACTGAAATGGTAAATTCATCGTACTCAAGGGATCATGTCATCGTACTCATCACTGGGCTAATTCAGTATAGTTAGGGGATTAAGTCATCGTCCCCAAAGGATTAAGTCATCCTACATATGGGGATTAAGACATCTAAGTCAATAGGCAGATTCATTGTACTCAGGGGGTTAACATTGTACTCAAATGATCAAGTCACTGTACTCAGGGGTTAAAATTCCTCGTACTTAAGATGATAAATGTAATAACAGCCTTATATATATTACGAATTACCTTCACATACCAAAAATAATGTTACATATAATTAAATATTGAGAAATGTAATTAACTGTTCCATGGAAAAATCTACTTAACATATGCTTATTAACCGCTGTCATATTTAATTGCATATCAAGTCAATTTATATTACATTTGAATTAATAATTACCTTTGTTGTTAATCAGTATTGCATTTAAGTCGATGGTTTAAGCTATAACGCTTTGAGGATGATGGTTTAAGCTTTAACCCTTTGAGGATGATGGTTTAAGTTATAACCCTTTGAGGATGATGGTTTAAGCTACAACTATGAGGATGATGGTTTAAGTTATAACCCTTTGAGGATGATGGTTTAAGCTACAACTATGAGGATGATGGTTTAAGTTATAACCCTTTGAGGATGATGGTTTAAGTTATAACCCTTTGAGGATGATGGTTTAAGCTATAACTATGAGGATGATGGTTTAAGCTATAACTATGAGGATGATGGTTTAAACTATAACGCTTTGAGGATGATGGTTTAAGCTTTAACCCTTTGAGGATGATGGTTTAAGTTATAACCCTTTGAGGATGATGGCTTAAGCTATAACTATGAGGATGATGGTTTAAGCTATAACTATGAGCAGGATGGTTTAAGCTATAACCCTTTGAGGATGATGGTTTGAGCTATAAGTCTTTGATGAGGATGGTTTAAGCTATAACTCTTTGAGGATAATGGTTTAAGCTATAACTCTTTGAGGATGATGGTATAAGCTAAAACCCTTTGAGGATAGTGGTTTAACCTTTAACTCTTTGAGGATGATGGTTTAAGTTATAACCCTTAGAGGATGATGGTTTAACCTTTAACTCTTTGAGGATGATGGTTTAAGTTATAACCCTTAGAGGATGATGGTTTAAGCTAAAACCCTTTGAGGATGATGGTTTAAGCTATAACTCTTTGAGGATGATGGTTTAAGTTATAACCCTTTGAGGATGAGGATGGTTTAAGCTAATGGTTTAAGCTATAACTCTTTGAGGATGATGGTTTAAGTTATAACCCTTAGAGGATAGTGGTTTAACCTTTAACTCTTTGAGGATGATGGTTTAAGTTATAACCCTTAGAGGATGATGGTTTAAGCTAAAACCCTTTGAGGATGATGGTTTAAGCTATAACTCTTTGAGGATGATGGTTTAAGTTATAACCCTTTGAGGATGATGGTTTAAGCTATAAGTCTTTGATGAGGATGGTTTAAGCTATAACTCTTTGAGGATTATGGTTTAAGCTATAACTCTTTGAGGATGATAACTCAAGCTATAATCCTCAAGGGGTTGAACCATCATGCATAAGGGCCTTACACAAGTGAACTTACAATTAAGATTAGTTGTACAAATCTTCGTAAGTACTTTACACTACAGTCATATACCATGCAAAGAAACACCTGCGTTTATTCATATGGACTTTTCTGTTACACCACTATAAACATTTCAGTGAAACTCTAAAACAAAAACTACAGGGTATGTATCTTGCTTTACGATAACTTGTGATGAGGCAGTAACAAAACACACACACACACACACACACACACACACACACACACACACACATTCATGTCATGGATGGACTTGCATTGACTTCATTTACTCTCCCATGGGTAGAAATATCCCCCCACCCCCACACTCATGGTTAACTATGACTACACACACACACACACTCACACACATACACACACACACTCATAGGTAGACATGACTTCACGCACTTATGTAGTTAACTCTGTAATCCTCTCTTCACTTTACCTTTCTGTAGGCGAAAAAAGATCGCTCCTCTCTCTCGCGTCTCACTCCTTCATAAGCGGACAGTGTTGTCAATATTTCCATAGGGGCCTCAGTTACACATCATCTTGGCTGTTTGCAAGAGGAACGCATCAGTGTGGGAAGCCTCCAGAGCCCACTAGTCATTTGTCGCACATTTGACTCTTAAGTATTCATAACAGGAAAACCTGACTCTCAGTGGCTGTAACGTGAGTTGTAAATTATTTGGGTTCTTTTCCTGACGTTACGCACTGTCCACCGCCAAGATTACAGTGTTACTTTCAAGATTCACAACAGTAGTAACTTTATAATCTAACAAAGCCTATGGTGTGAGTCAAGCACGTACGTATTTTGGCTGGATAAATAAAATACTGTGAGTGAGGGCGGGGCGGCGGGCAAGAGTGAGGGTACCGGTGAGGCTTGGCCGAGCAGGACACACACACATACACACACACGGTCAGAGCACACACTTCCCCGCCTAGGAGCTGGGCGGACACTGAGGCCCGCCACCCCACTCTACCTACGTGCCGGAGTGGGCTACGCGCGCGCGCTTCACAACACAAAATAAAATTATACGTGGATGTGTCATTGTGTCTGATTTATTGCAACTCATCTGCCGAGATGGAAGTTGTGAATATATCTTAGCATAATGTTGTGGAGGAGGCGGTATGGGCCATTGCTGCCGCGTCCTGAAGGAGAGGATTGCTGCTATGCGTCTTGATAAATCACAGGCCAGACTAAAGTCGCCCAATTCTATAGTTCACTGTGATGTACAGACTTGAGTACTATACTAGCTTAGCCCAGCGTATCAGCCCTTTAAACTGTGTCTCTTCTCGTTTTCCACTACTCATTTTCTTTGGTTTTCTTTCCTTAGTTATTTGTCTCGTATTTACTGAGGTGGTGGTGACGAGCACGTCTTTATTTTTCCCAGGTATTTTTAGTGTTTATTGTTATCATCATCATTGTTAGTACATGTTTTATTTCCACTACATATTTTATTGTCTTTAATCAGCAAATAAATTTTTGTGATTATTGTAATTTTTATTAACTTCAACATTTTTATTACAATTATCACTATTTTATTGTTTTTATTCTTATCATTACTTTCATTACCAGTATTTTCATATTTAACGAAATACGAAAACGTGAGCTTAAAAGTCCCATACTTTTCGTAAAAGAAACTCTGTTTTGCTCCCTAAATGACATATGACCGCTGGTTTGTGCCGATTTGCATAAACTTTTCATCAAAACAGCTGTATTTCATCAGCGGGAGAGATATATGCTGGGGCAAGAAGCTCTACTGGCAAGAGAGACGAGGAATGGAATTATGATTCAGAAGAGGACAGTACTGTGTATAGACTATAAACAGCGCCCAGGTACTGTACCTATCACGAGCTTAATAAGCAGGACACCTGTGCTTAAATAGGTGTGTGGTGGGGGGGGGGGATTGATGAGATTTAGGAGTTCATAGTGTACGGGGATGAGTGTGGCTGGTTACGTCACATGTAAACTGTAGGTTCTCTCTACATCCTTGACCCTGGCCAGAGCGCCGCCTTATACTTGCTTGAACCAATACTTGTGTAACCCCGTGGCGCTGCTGACAAGGTGGGTCCAGCTGCGTCCATAAAAAAAGAGACAAAATAAAAAGACAGAGGTATGAACCTAGTCGAGTGTGTGAGGAATCATACACACACACACACACACACACACACACACACACACACACACGCCAATAATAATCCAGAGGTTCAGAGAGGAGGAGGTGGTGATGGTTGGTGTTGAAGCTAATGACAGATTACAGAACAACAAACAGCTGAGAGAGTGAGACCGGAAGTGAAGGCTGCTTGGGTAATAAGACAGGCAACTCTAGATAGAATGGTGCCAAGGAGGCCAAGTGTATCAAGGCTGCGTCTATCAATATGTCAGTGCCGTTCTATATGAGGATTATGTCGCAGATGATATTCCCGCGTTACATATTCTTCACGATGGTATATTGGAGATGTTATTGCCGTGTTCCTCGTGTAATAATTTCGACTAGGGTATTAAGTGTGTTGGTGATCCACTTTTACAATATTCTCCATGACTCTTTCACACCTACAACACCACCCTCTTATTACTGGTCAATAGTATTGGTTATCGCAAGCGTCTCTCCACTTCAAACCTTCTGATTAACTTAACTAAGCAGATTCATCTCTCCCATTAAGCACAGGGAAGAGAACCGTGTAATCAGACCTAACACCTCCAAAGTTTTTTGACGGAGTGTGGCATCAAGGACTCCTGACTGTGATTACCCTCTATGGCCTTTCATTATACACTCCAGAGTTTATTGTGTCTCATTGAATAATTTGTGTGGTACTGGACGGTGTTTATCCCTGTTACATAATTATAGAGATGCCGCAGGGTTCTGTTCTTGCACCCACTCTATTTCTCATACATATAAAACATCTTCTGTCTTACACCGATTACCAAATCCACTCATCTGCCCATGACTCAAGTCCACACTTTTGTTTTTCTCTCAAGCTACTCTATTTATTCAGGTTTTAATCAACAACAGACAAGAAACAACCCGATCAATCAAAGTCGATCTGGACAGAATTACAGAATCGAAATGTGAGAACTTGAGCGACTGTAATCCCTTCTAAAACACCTTGTATAGCCTTGAGTAACAGAAGGAACAATTTAGAATCCAGTATCACGCGGATCATGCCTTCATTTAGCACGAAGATCCAACGACTTCTTTACTGGAGTCTTCCCACAAGTTTTATTCTACAAACCTTCAAGAAAAAAACTGTTAACTCTACCACTTCCCTTAGAAATGTTGTTGATAAAAAGCATCACTGCCCTACAACAACGGTGAGGTCTTTAAACGAGTAATTTAGACTAGACAATGCACTAGATTTCATTCGCTAAAAAGGAAATTATATCATTTTTTTCCAGGTGAGACTCGGCCACACGTGCACAAATGATTGCCTTATCTTACCTTATCTATAATACCTGTGGTGACTGACTCTCTCTTCCTTGTACTTTATATTAAAAAAAAGTAATTGATATCAAAAGAATATATGAAAAATCATTAACCAATTATTATAAGTCACACTACCTTAAGTTTGTTATATGTAAGAGACTCATAATTATACTCTGCATAATTCTATAAGTAACGGGATACTAATATGCTCACATTCTTCATGTATCATTAATTACATCAATAAAGAGAATTAGAATCAATAATTAATCAGAAGCCAAATTAGTTCACTTGTAACCTCTAAATTGAATTCTATAAACTCAATTAACCTTTAAGTTAACCTCATCAAATACAATAACCTTCGACATAATACCATAAAAGCTGACTTACAAATTAATAGGGGAAATCAGCTTTTCTTCTGTCAACTCGGCTAATTACCACTTATAACCACGAACACTTTCCTCGCATGAAATTTCCAAACCTAGAAATTCAAATGTAGAATAAAAACTCGAAATCTTTTTTAACATTGTGCTGTCTGAGTTTTCATATATATCTAGTATAGTAATATCAATGTTCAGTTCTTCACCTGTGAGGAGTGGCATTTTGTTGCTGTAATTATTGAAGGTGAAAATTTTTACATTAAATCAATTTCACTTCATATAATATAGAACGAGAAGATGAATCTATTTATTTCGCTAATAAACCAAGTGCAAATTGTCCACACTCAACGGGGAAGAAACGGGAGTTGGGTTAGGTTAGGTTAGGTTAGGTTAGGTTAGGTTAGGTTAGGTTAGGTTAGGTTAGGTTAGGTTAGGTTAGGTTAGGTTAAGTTAGGTTAAACTATGTTAGATAAGGTGTGTTTGTCTTTGGTCAGGTTAGGTTAGGTTAATTCTGATTAGGTTAGGTTTGGTTAGTCTTGGTTAGGCCAGATTAGGTTAGAATAAGTTTGTTTAAGTTTGGTTAGATTAATTTAAGTTAAATTATTCTAGGATTAGGGTAGATTAGGTTAGGTCAGCTTTGGTTTAGGTTAAGGTCAAATTTTGCATGGACCCAGCTGACCAATTGCATTTTTTCGTGCATTGGATTTTTATAGTTTTATGTATATGTTTTTTTTTTCTAGCGTGGTCGTAACTCAAAGTTCCCCCGTACTCGTTGGTAAGTCCTGACAGATGTAACGACATAACACCGGATTTCGAGTGACTACCCAAATCCTCGTCCACAAATTTATATATGGAAATCGAACACAAAAATCGGTTTACTTGTGTTACTGAGGAGATTTATAAACTGTGTGAGTGTGTTTGTTAAAGTTATTTACGATTTATTCAGGTAACTTTTTTAAGGTGTTGCCTTTTTTTTGTTAATAATGTAATGGCTAGACTTATGGCTCTTTTGGTTTAACCTTTAAAAGATAGTTGTTTGTATTTATTTTATATTGTAAAATGAAGCAGAATTTTATGTTTACTTTCGTCCATTATTTTATCTTTTCAGTTGTCTTTTAACATTTAATTATACGTGTTAAACAATGCTATAATTTTTTTTTATCCATTTGACTGACTTGACTGACTGACTGACTGACTGATTGAAGCACTGAGAGAACTTACACCCCCCTTCTCTCTCAAATAGGATTCTAACCTAAGGTGGTGTTGCCGGGCGTACGACTCAAGCCAATTCTTTATTTTACTCAAGATCTCCGGGTTCCCAAAATAGATTATTTTTAGTGATGTAAGTAAATATTTTCACAGATAACCTATTTTTTTTTATATATATATATTTTCGTAACCTCGTGAAATACTGGAGTTTCACAAAAATATAGGCGAGAGATAAAGCGATAAAAAACAATTCCATTTCCACCTGGAACTCGTTCACCTTCGGATTAAAACTTTGTTAATGCCTCAAGTTAATCCCATTATTTCTTCTTTTATATTACGCTTCCCAGCAGTTTAATTGTTTCCTTTCCTTTAGGCATTACTTCTTATTACGGTTTAAGCCAGAGAATTGGTAAAAAGGACAAATAAAAAAAAGGACAGCTAGAAAGGAAGACAATAAAAAGAAAAGAGAAAGACAGAAAGAAAAAAAAGGAGAAAAGAAAAATAATGACTCGTTTGATCCTGCTTGGAAAAACGTGATGTTACTCCGCGGTCATGTGTGCGTTGTGTAAGTTCATATGGCATGGAAGAATGGTCGGAGACGTGTGGGAACAATAAAGTAATGTGTAGAAAGAACCCCGGTGATGCTCGTCTTCATATATAGGTAAATATACATGTAGAAAACATAAATACAACATCAAATTTTCCATTATTTTTCCATATCTTGGGGCCAGACGGGACTGCTATCCTCTCTCCTTCAGAAGTGCCCAGTTCAAGTGAGTGCCTGGCGGTGGTGTGTGTGTGTGTGTGTGTGTGTGTGTGTGTGTGTGTGTGCGTGTGTGTGTGTGTGTGTGTGATAATAATAATCAAAATTAATGACGACGACAAGGAGGACGAGAAGACTATTTTTGAAACTATTACTAACAGTGTTGTC